GAGAGAGAGAGAGAGAAAGTGAAAATTATTGGACATGTTTATCATTAAATTATACAGTGAAAATATATAATTTTAATTTTCTAAACTAATTTACTTGCATCCTATTTGCCGCAAATGATTTTCTCAATCCAAAAACAGAAATAATTTTTGTCAGTCACTTCAAAAGGTCGGATTGGCTTGAAAGTTTGAAAAGATGAATACACGAGAAAAAACGAATTACGCGATTATTTCCGCTTTATCGCAATTCTGAGTCGGCAAAATGCTTTAAGCTTTACACAGCTTAAAATCGCTTAATGAGTTTTGCAATTCAGTTGTGGACATGCTAATTTCTGATGTTGACATTTTTGTGTTATATGTCACGCAGGTACATTCACTCGCGATCAGAGAGTTTTGAGCGGCAGTCTTGTTCAGGGAAGTCGCAACGTCAGCAGCGGACCGGCTTTCGAAACGAATGTGCCACGGAATGTCACTACCGCAGTCGGTCAAACCGCCTTTCTTCACTGTAGAGTTCATCAGCTGGGCGACAAGGGGGTGAGTGACAGTATAAGTTCAGAGTTCTGCGACTCTCCCTTCCTTGAGACAACTCGTTAATTGCGCCAATAGACTTGCGTTCGATGGTATTATAAGGAAAATTTTTCCCGTACACATTATTTTCGTATATATTTTAAATATAATAGAATCCAAAATGTTCGGAAAATATCAAATCTGCTTACCAAAGTTCATTCATAAATCTTTGAAATAGATTAATATATCCATTTCATTTTCAAATGCTCACGCGTGTAGCTTAACTTATGATTTGTGGTAAATATACAGATTATTACAAAATTATTAAATAAATTGTGATATGGAAGGAAACAAATGACATTATTATTATGCATCCTGTGTCGAAGCAGTAAATGTCAAATCCAATAAATTTTAGTACGGAGATTAAAATCTCATTAATTCTTATATAAAAAAAAAACATTATTATTTTAAGCGTTAAACTCATATAGCTATTAATTGTACTGTAGCGGAATGTATTGTAGCGGAAAAAATGTTTAGAGATATACAAAATTTACAAAATTAAAGAACTTATTTGACTGCAGAGATGCATAACTTTCTAATCATGGTTCTTAAATGAAATATAGATATTAGGGACAAAAAAAGAACTTTGCAATATTCTCACCGCGTCAAAGGTAGAACGGAGATTGCTGTTGCGGTTACGGTTGCTTCATCGTTTTTCAAAATCCTCGATCCCAGGCATACCTCCACGTCAAGACTATATAGATTCGAGTAGAGCTACTGGGTTAACATTACCGCAAGGCTGGCCTGCGGTTTCTGGTTAGGTCATTGATAGAATATGCATGACGCCTGTTTGAAGAATTAAATCTGCTCAAAGGCGGGTAAAAGATATTATTTTTCCGGATTTTTGACTGAGAGACTACCGATCTGATTGATGGTTAATTAAAATTGAAAAATTTGTCGTGTGTTTTTATCGAGTATTAGCTTCGTGCTTCCGTTCGTAATGTATCGATCGAGTATTATACGTCAATTATTCGAGCGTTATATAGCAACTATTAAATTTGCAAACTTTTCGTATAAGAAGTATAACAATCGCTCACAAATAAGAAACTCTAATAGAGTACATTATATATCGATCGTAGAAATTTTAGCATGATTTTCGTATATGCACTATTAAGGCTTAATATTTAATCAAGTCGCTCAATCTTCTAGTTACTAAGAGCAGGAGTTGCTACGGCATGCGAAGATTTGATATTTCACGAAGTTTCAGCCAATGCTTGCTAGATCGCCGAGCATATATATATATATATATATATATATATATATAT